TTTCTGAAGTCCTTTCAGTGTTTCTTTGGACATTGGCTGCTTTTTCACATAATTTCAGTCCAGTCCTTGTACCTGACCATTTTCAGAAGAATGTTTGTCTTATGAAAAGTTTTGGTTCAAATCAAGGAAGGAGAGAGGCCACCTGTAAAACACGGTAAAGGCTGTTATGGTTTGGAGCTGCATTTCAGCCAGTGGTGTTAGAGATCCTGTAAATATCGATGTGACTATAAAAGCAGAAAAGTATCATCAAATTTTGATCCACGGTCCAGTATCATTTGGAAATCATCTGATGGGCAGTAGCTTAATTATCCAGCATCACAAACATCCTAAACACACTGCCAGTGCAGTAAAAGCATACCTGTCAGAATAACACATAGATGAACACTATCAGTCATGGATTGGCCTCCCCGGAGCCCAGACCTGAACATTATTGAAGTAGTATGAGATCATCTTGACAAAGAACAAAACAAAAGGCAGACAGCATCCAGAGAAGAGCTTTGAATATCCTTTAGGAAGCCTGGAGAACTATTCCTTAAAGAAATTACAAGAAAGTTTAACAGGAGAGTTCAGACTGTGCTAAAGAATAAAGGCGGCCTTACCAAATACTGACATTCAGGCCTATTAGCATGGTAACTATCTGTGCCTTATATGCTGTATTTCCATATATGTATGCTGATGTTTCAATAAGTCATTGCACCTATTTCCTGTTTTCATAGCAGAATATAAAGAAATCAAAGGTAGCTCAAGACTTTTGAATAGTGCAGTACGCATGCGAGAGTTTCCTTTTTAAGTTGATGGTTTAACCGTGTGAGCAGGGTAACACACCGATGGACTTCAGTGTAACATACCCAATACATCCTTCACTTTGAAAATAATGTCAAAGCTGCAATTACAGTAGCTATTTTAAGCTTTGGATCCTGAGTGTAAACACTTTCCTCTCTGACTCTGCTGCATCCCTGAAACAGTCATTTAGCTCAGGACCCTGACATGCTGTCATATTAAACATGAGCTGTAAATGGTTTGGGGGAGGTGAGAGAGGTTGTAGATACTTATGTTATTAGTGTGAGTAACCCAAACAAGCATCTAATCTCTGCAGCATGAAGAGCGTAGTTTTGCACTGTGTTAGATAACAGTATTTGATTCAGCTTTCAGCCAAGACGATGATTTCAGTTCTTGAGTTTATTTCAAAACGACTCCGCGCTAATCGCATCTAGGCCACATAGCATGCAGGCACTCTTTAAATCCTATGTGAAAGTTGCATTTGCAGCAGTAACATTAGGCTTATAGTAATGTTCCCAGTGCATATAAGCCCCTCACATTAAAAAACCACAGCACTAGAGGACGCTGCAAATAAACACACGCTATCTATACTCTCACTGTTTCAGAAAGTAACCGAAAAATATTAAAAAATAAAGGCAAAAATCTCTTGATCACGCCGTTATTCACTATGAAAATGGAAAGCCACTCCAGTTTCAGAAAACACAAGCAATATAAAAATGCAGCAAAAACACACAAAAGAACAACAGAAATAGAAAAAAAAAAGCAGCAAAACCTCATAGAAAGGGGAAGCATTACCATGACGGACCAGCTGCGGAAGTGACAAGCTAACGATAACTCTTTTAGCGACTAAACCAGGAGTTTGCGTTCATTCAACCATTCTGTTCTTGGTTTAGTGTCAAAGTATCAACATTAATCTATTAATAGCAAATTCATTTTTTAAAATGATATATCCCAATATCCCAAATTGAATTACACTTAATGTTTAATATGGTAACTGAATCCCCCTGGACTGTAGCTAACTTCGCATGACATTCCAGAAAGCTTGCACAGATTCCCAACAGAAAAACAAATGATGATTTACAGAATACACAACTGGGTTCCCAGCATCAAGTTTTTACAGCTGTCTTCTTCTTCTTCTTCTTCTTCTTCTTCTTTTTTTTTTACAGTGCAGTTCACGTCTGAAGCTGGTCCGTCACATAATATTCTCCCAAAAACACTTCCGTTTTGTTTTGTCTGCTTTTGTGGTGTTTTTCCATTTTTTTTAAGTTGTAGTTTGTTTGACTTCACAGGGCCACCGTAGAAAGATGACACGATCTCATTCACCTAAATATCAAAGCTCATAAAGTTTTTAACTCTATGCAAATTGTGAGTTAAAATACATGTCAGATGTTAGCATTGGTTGGAGTTTGAAAGAAACTCTAAAGAACCAAAGAGACTGTCCTTAGAAAAAATAATAAGGTCTGTTAAGTAATGGGTCTCACTTCACCACCTGTGTAAATCTCCATTAAAACCGTGCAAAATAAGGGATTTTCTTTAACTCCGGCATAACAGCATTCAGATTTCTTCTTTTTTAAGATTATTATTACTTTATCAATAAATTGATTGATTGATTATGATTATTATTAGTGTTCAGTAAATTTCACATTAAGTGTTGTGTGTTAACCTTTATGAAGAAGTCTATAAATACCTCAGAGCAGGTGGCTAAAGCCTGTGTGGCCCATCTGCTCCTTAACCCTCAGAAGGAAGGAGTCAAAGATGTAACTGTGCAGGTGTGTGTGTGTGTGTGTGTGTGTGTGTGTGTGTGTGTGTGTGTGTGTGTGTGTGTGTGTACAAATACACAGATCCGTTCAAGTCAGGTGATAACGCATTTAGTGTAACTTATGTTTGTCTTTCTTAATGTATCATATGAAAGGCTCAGAGAGAAAGACCCTTCAACACTTATGCAATGTAAACAGCTAATAATACTTGCCCTTACCATACCCTAATGAGATACAGTGTGTGCGTTTGTGTCTGCGCTTCTCAAACAGTCAGTCCATGTGATGGTAAAACACAATAAGCCTCTTAGGTCTAATCCTGCCCCGTTGGGAAGGCAGTGTCTCACACATGCCACGCACACATACGTGCACACATAGCGCCAATGTGGCCAAATCTGACAGTTCTTTGGTTTAATGCCATCAAAATCCTGAAAGAGAAAAGTGATAAAAAAAAACAAACATTTATTGTTATTGTCGGAAAGCAACCTGTTTGGTCAACAATATTACAGGACAGTAAGAAAGTCATCATCATCATCTTTATTCATTAAGCATTCTAAAACAACCACAGGTGATGCAAAGTGCTGAACATTGGAACAAAATAATAAAATTATATAATACATTAATAAAAAACAACTGAAAGCAAAAAGCAAAGTAATTAATTAATTAGTTAGTAGCTAATTTAATTACAAGAAAAGCTAAGTCTTGCTGAGGCTGAAAATCAAAGGATAAAATTGGGGTTAAGACGTGTTTTAAAAGTGGACAGTGTGTGCGATTATCAAAATTCTTTATCGTAATTTAGATTTTCAGCACATGAGAGCAGCAAATGAGAAGTAACAGCATCCGAAATTATATGAGAATGAGAATGTTTGCTTTGACCCTTCTGCCAAACAATGTTTCTTTAAAAAAAAAAAAAAAACAATAAAATAAAAATCAACAACACACAACAAAAAGGAGAAACTGAAGACATGTTAATGTAATGTGGCATACAAATGCACAGGAAGAGGAAGAGAGGAGAATTGCTTTTTGCACCATGGGAGGTCTCCCACCTGCCTGAATTTACAGCAGGAAAAACCAAGTTGTGGTCCAGAGCCATCCATAAGCTTCAAAAACAGCCACAACGAGGCAAGATTTACAGTGCTGCTTTGGTGTCCGGTTGTAGATCCTAAGCAGGTATGCAACTGATGCAGTTCTCCAAACAATAACATGTAGCTTTGAGTTGATGATGCCCTGCATAGGTCAAATACAGAATAGTTGAAAAGTGCAGTCCAGAGCAGGAAAGTGGAAGGCAGATGAGTTCCCCATGAAAGAGAAAACCTTTGGTTGGCTCTAAAAGGCCCCTGAAAAGTCTAGAGAGAAAGAACTAGAGAGAAAGCGAGATCATATTTCTCACATATGCGCTTCTCTTTATTATTTCCCAGTGTAATCCAGAATTGAATCCTGCTCTTCACATACAAAGGCTTGAATCATTAGGCGACATTGTCTGTGCTGCTCATAGGGGACTGTCAGATTGTTTGGGGCTTTCAAGGTATAAAACCTGAAGCAACTGTTATTGTTAGCTGCCAATATGAAAACTAAATACAACTGAAATTAATTAAATTGAGCTGAATTGGGTGACTGTGGGAAATTATTTTTGTTTGTAACACCGCTCCCAGGTGATTGTAGGATCCGTATCTTACAACACAAAGCACCTTTGCTTCTCTATATAAATGCATGTAGAAGTTGATCTGCAAAGCTGTCTGTAGGCTCTGCATAGAACCAGAGCAAAACTATGTTTAAGCCATTAAACTTCAACTTTAGTTAAAAGTTAAATAAAGAAAAGCTATTTCTAAACAACCCTAACATACAACTCATGCATACAATAATAGGATCACCATATTGTTTTCTGTATTGTTTTGTAAGATTTCTTTATCTGAAGGTAAGTATATGCATACTCAAACCAATCACAAAAACAATTCAATCACTCGCCAGAAATGAGACTACATAACTGCCGCTGTCAAACCTGACTCTGGGCGTATCTTCCGGTGCACATAAGTACAAACATATGAGAGATTAGTGAGTTGCTTTGAAAGTTAGAAACTTTGAGTAACGTGTTTAGCTTCTGCTTTGTGTGTCTATCCTTTTGAGCGACTCAGACAATTCCCTGAGCTCAGCGTGACCTGAACGTCTGCCTTGGCTTTCACTGAAGTAGCTGAAGTAGGGAGTTTTGTATTGTGACTTCTCTCGGCACAGAGGAAGATAAAAACGTGCAAAAATGGCTTTCCTGGCACCGCTGTGATGTTACACCGGTGACTATTCTTCAGCGCAGAGCTGGCTTTTATGAATGTGAGACCGGTTCGGGCCTGCCTGTAACAACAGATATGACTCTTTCTTGGAGTGTAACAGAAGTCTGTGGTTAACTGACAGTTGGTTTTGTATCATGTACAAAACAACAGAAGAACTTAAGACACATTTTTTTTCTTTCTTCAGATTACCTCTGCTCTCCAGAAGAAAACGTCCACATGATCGACTTCACCAGATTTAAGATCCGTGACATGGAAACGGGGACTGTCCTCTTTGAGATCACCAAACCTCCGACACCAGGTGAGCTCCAACGTGCAGAAACTAGATAACACATTATATGGCAGGTCCAAAAACCTTCCAGTATGTCAGATGGTTTATTGGTTCATCAGTTTAATAGGAAAAACCTGCACGCATATGTGCATAGCTCAAATAAGCCGAGCAAGGGCTGGAACTCAAAAAGCTGACTGCTTTTTGTTGTTTTTATTCATCTTGTCTTCAGCTGGTGGTAAAAAGCAGTGTGACCCCAATGCCGGCCGTTTTGTCCGATACCAGTTCACCCCGGCTTTCCTACAGCTGCGGCAGGTTGGAGCCACGTAAGTCCCCATGTGGTGTAATATCCGGTCAACCCTGCTGCGACGACTGAGGGAACGTACCGGAAGTAGGATGTGTGTAGGCTCTGGTGTCACAGGCAGCAGGCTGACAGCGATGAGTGTGAACAGAGTGGCCCAGCCCATCTGCTGAGTCGGGCACCAAGTAGCCAAAACTGCTCATCATGAGACTGAGTGCAGATTTCAAACCAACACATCAACTGACTAATCTAAACTGGGATTAGCCCTAAATTTGTATCATTATTATTGGTAGTAGTATTATCATCATCATTATTATTATTATTATTTGGATTATGTGTGTGTTAACCTGTAGAGTAAATGGTTTTAGTGCATTTGACAACTGGATGGATGGACCCAAAATGTAGGCCTGAGAAAATGGAAAGTAAACTCAAAATCAGCTTTAATGCTGTGTTTTTACTAAAATACAAAATAATGCAGGTCAAGAACAAACTTGCCAAAACTACAACTCTTCTAAGAAAACACGCAAGGAGGAAAGAGTGAGACAATAGATATACACCGGAGAGGAAACAGGTGGGAGGACAGCTGAAACCAATCAGAGATGGCACGACAGGGGAAGTAGAATTAAATGCAAAGCACTAGTGACAGGAGACTATCAAAATAAGACAAGAAATAACTAACACTGAGACCAAGAATCAAATATACGATTATATAGTTAGGGCTGGATCCTTTTGTTATTGTGCAATATGCTTAGGCTGCTTGGGACTTGGGACCATGATGCACTGGGTTTTTCTTCTTCATTCACCTTTTTTCACTCAGCATTTAATCATTAGTTATTCATCTCTGTGTTTCCTACAATGTGCCTTTTGTCCTGTCTTCTCCCCCTCGTCCTCAATTGGTCGCAGCAGATGGCTTCCCTTCCCTGAGCCTGAAGTTTCTTCCTGTTAAAAGGGAGTTTTTCCTTCCCACTTTCGCCAAGTACTTGCTCATGGAGGTAGTCTTTTTGTAGGTATATAAAAAGCACCTTGAGGTGGCTGCTGTTGTAATTGCTGTTCTATATAAATGAAATTGAATTGAAAAGAGGTCAAAACATAAGATGGAAGGAACAGAATTTGGAATACAAAAGGGAATTTAAAAACCTATCGTCAGCTAAAACAAGCAGGGAACTAAAGGCACAGATAAGAAATCATAAACACAAGGAAAGTAAAACTAACAACATAAACAGAGAGCTCCTATCTGAAAACCAAAAGGAGTCATAAACCCACAAAACAGACCAAACCTAAAGGTCTTTGCAACAAAGGGTCAGAACTAAAGTCGTGAAAACAACAACCAAGATTGGAAAAAAAAGACCCATAAACACTAAGAAATACAGCAAGCTAAATATCAATATTATAGAGTATAGAAACATAAAACAAGATAAGAATACAAAATTAGAGAAAACCCAAAACTCCCCAAAACTCAAAACCCCTGACAGTCTTCATTTTTTAATTTTATAACTTCGATTTATCCTTTTTATCATTTCTAATCACATTTAATTCACCAAACTATGTTTTTTTTTTTAAGCCTCCTTTATGGGTGTGCTCCAGAGCAAGCTAAACAAAACCAGGCCTTCTTTGCATTACCGGGCTTAACAAAATCTGAAACCTCAGTCAGAGAGAGTCAGGGGATCGATGGCACATGGTCTGCTCCAATCAGAGACATTATCAGAGGAACAGGTGATGGAGATGTAAGCAGAATGTAAAAATATAACAGTAAAGAATAATTAAGACAAGAGAGCAGTGCAGAGTGTTGTAAGTAAAGTGATTTGCTCGTCACAACCGCATAAAAATAATAAAGCTAATGTGTTTATTTTTTCACTGCTATTTATTTCTAATGTGAAAGCTACTTGTTAGAGCTCTGAAGCAACCAATGCAATTAAACACTAAAGGCTACTCAGCGTGTTCAGATCTGACACTCTCCCATAACCTAATAAAGGAGACTTGCATCCTTTCTGCTTCCATAGGAATTAAGAGGCTTTAGTAGCAGCCAGGTGCTGCTTATCGGATGTCTGTGAACTTCAGGCCCTCAGACTGTGCTGCATTAAAAACAGACATGATTCTGTCAGGAATCAGGAACTCTTCCAGAAATCGTTCTCTTTGATCACAGTTTGTTGTGAATTCCACAAATCAGTGAAAAAAGACATATCCATCCATAATCTAGAAACACCACCATATTCTTCTCCTAAAAGTCCAGCAGCTGCTCTCCTCAGTTCCTACATTTTACAAACTGTTATAAGAAGAGGTGATGTTACACGGTGGTGAACACAAACCCTGTCCCAAATTTTTCCAGACGTGCTGCTGCCATCAAATTCAAAACAAGCTTTTTCTTAAGATGTTAACTTTTCTCAGGTTAAGTACTTGATATGTTTTCTGTGTTCTGCTGTGAGTAAAATATGGAATTTCTGAGATTTGCAAATAATTGCATTCAGTTTTATTCACGTTTTAAGCAGCCACCCTTTTGGAATTGGGTTTGCAGATAATCTAGATTGATTGTTACTAGGCTTTTCCCTTGTTGCGTTCTTACAACTGTTGTCATAAGTGTCAAAAGCAGCGACAGCAGTTTGTATTTCCATTCCCTTACTCGTTGGTGGGTGTATTTTGTCCACTTTGTGTCTCTGCAGAGTGGAGTTCACGGTTGGTGACACCCCCATCAACAACTTCCGTATGATTGAGAGACACTACTTCCGCGATCAGCTGCTAAAGAGTTTTGATTTCGAGTTTGGCTTCTGCATGCCCAGCAGCAAGAACACGTGCGAGCACATTTATGAGTTCCCCACGCTGTCCGAGGAAATGAGTGAGTGTCACACACTCCGACGCACTCGAGACAAATACCCCCGCCCCATGTTTAGATGGATTTGATGTTTTAGAACGCTGTGTGCTGTCTCTCTCCCTCTCTCAGTGCGTGAGATGATCCTGCACCCTTACGAGACGCAGTCTGACAGCTTCTACTTTGTGGACAACAAGCTGGTGATGCACAACAAGGCGGATTATTCCTACAGCGGAGGGCCGTAGGAAAGCCTCCATCCTGCAACCCTCCACCATTTCTCTCTTTCTCCTTCCCTGTTTTAGACATTTTCGATAATCCAGCTATCACTTCAGGACCAGAAACAGATGAACTGATGGACAAATCACTGGCATTAAATACTCATGTCTCCTTCCCTGTTAAGCTCCATGCATTTCCATTCAGGTACTGAGCTGCCCGGCCAATCAGATTTCTCCCTTTGCCTCTTTTTTTTTTTTTTTTTTGCAGAAACACTGAATTCTGCAAGTTTTATCCTCAGTTTGCATCAGCGTGCGTGAGTGAGTGTGTGGGCAGCAAACACATGCAGTGTCTGTACATAGTGTTGATTTCTGTCTGTATATGTGGGTTCCAGTTTCTCATCAGGAAAACTTTTTTATTTTATTTTGTGTGTTTTGGAAGAGAAACCGAAGTCAAACAGACGAGGCGGAAACACAGAATGAGACAAAGGAGGAAATGAAATTGCCCTAAAAGCAGTAAGAATAAAAAAAATCAGATGTATATTTACAGTATATAGTTTGTATAGGAGTCTCACTGTATTTGTACTGCAGAGGTTCAGCGAAGTCTTTGTAGTGGCACACACATCTGAATGATTCGGTCCTCCTCCTGTGATCTGCCATCGTTCAGTTGAATGACGGCACTGTGTACTCCGTCTTTGTGAATGTGTCACTTGTTGTCATATATTTTCATGTCCGTAGTACTACTACTACTGTAGTGCGTGAGGAGTATTTTTTAAATAAATAGCCATTTTGGAAAAAGTGTCAGAGAGTTACACTAGCCCAAAGTCAGATACCAATTTTGATATCCAGTACGATCTCTGTAGTACTGAGCACTGTGTATACTTTAATTACAATAAATGTTTTAAGCAAAAAAATAAATAAAAGTATGTAAAAAAGTTTTGACAACCAAAATTCCATAACTGCAATAAATGTGGGATTTTTGTGGGACCTTGATATTTGCTGTTTTTTTTCATTAACAGTGAGGTTCACTCCAAATACACCCACTAAAAAAGAAAAAAGACCTAAAGTTGAGGTACAGACGATACTATTGACTGAACTTGATTACCTTTAAATGGACTGCAGTGGTTTATAAATTCCCTAGACTGCAGACTTTCCATTTAACATCCTCTACACTTTAAGATCCGCAGGTCGTTTGTGTGCTTTTACTTGGCATTCTTCTTCCTTTGACTTATTTGATGTAGAAAACAGTCAAATGCACACAGAAAGTAAAGCATGTCTAAAGATTATTCCTAACACGCAACAAGCAAAACGTGTTTTTGTCGCCATCTTCTGTAGCAACAGTCTTACTGCACCGTTATTATTGCATCTCCCACTGTATCACTCATCAATCATCAGCATCTTTTCTTTCTTTTTTTCCCTCTCAGCACATACTGTGCATGGTTCGAGCCAGTGAGTACATGATACACAGACTCTGGTCAGTGGTGTGTAAACATGAAACAACAAGGGGTTTTTTGGACACCCAGAGGCAGTGGAAACCTTTCAGAGCAAAATTAGCAAACATGTAAGGTCATATTTCCAACCACCTGGTTTCATCATCGACAGAATATTCTAACAGTTTCCAACTGTTTTCTTCTAATAGCAGGTAAAAGCAGGTGTAACTAATCACATTAATGAAGCTTGGTGCTGTTCTGCTTAGAAACTAAGCCTTCATTAACGTGATTAGTAACACCTGCCTTATCTTGCTGACTAGTTCAAGTCAAAAACAGCTGCTGTGAAGAAGGTTTGTTGTGTTTGTTTGCTGCTTGTTGCTGATCAGGGAGTGAGCCGCAGGAAGAAACAATGAACCAAAACAGGAAATCTTTAAGTACGACAGTTCAGCGAAACTCTCTTTATAGACAGGCTTCATAAACCTGAGAGGAGCTGCTTTGCTTTTCTTCAAATTTTAGTTACAGTTGTTATTGCATAATCATAGCTGGTTGAGAAAAATTCTAATAATAGAAAATGTTATTAACACGATCGTTTACAGCTATTTTGTTTTATTCATTTTATTAACCACGTAGAAGAGCTCATAAGTGTGCACAGATTCACACAGGAGCAGTTGATTTATTCACATTTATTTGTACTGGATTTTTTTTTTTTTTTTTTACAAACAGTAAAAAAACTGATAATTCCTTAAACTACCTAAAAATACTGGGATACACAAAAATACCAATGTGACAACACACTCTGGGAGGTGTAAATAAATAGATACATTCAAAT